ATTATACAACTGATGTTATGCATAATGATGTGTCCGTTACTAGTATTAAAGAACCATGTATCTGGAATGATGTAGAATCTTTTAATGTAACTACCAACTATAGTGTGGATATAATGCATGATATGGCAGAAGGGGTACGCAAATATGACATAGGTTTTATACTAAAAAAAATGATTTATAATCTCAAGTATTTTTCTCTTGATACATTAAATAACAGAATAGGGTCCTTTAATTATGGACCATTAGACATTAGAAGTAGGCCAACACTAATTACAGATACAAGTTTGAAACGAGAAGGGTGTCTCAAAATGTCAGCCTCTGAAATGTTATGTCTTACAAAATACCTCGGGTTGATAATAGGAGATTTGGTGCCTGAAGAATCTGAACTTTGGAATTTATATATTCTATTAAAACAAATCCTTGACATAGATTTATTTTTTGCAAATGGATACATAATCAGGATGTAATTTTGTTGCAATCAATTATTTCTGAACACCATGAATTATATAAAAAATTATTCCAAAATACTTTGAAACCTAAACACCACCATATGGTACATTATCCGTTAATTATGAAAAACTCTGGGCCTCTATCTCTTTTTTGGTCAATACGCTTTGAAGCTAAACATAAAGAATTATAAGAAACGGCACATTCAATTACATCACGAAAAAATATTACATTAACATTAGCAATTAAACAACAACTACAATTTGCATATAGACTTATATTACCTGATAAAAGTATATAAACAATCAAAGCAGATATAGGACCAGTTCAAACAATAACACTAGATACAGTTGAATTATATACATCAAATACTTCATTTCATTCAGCAAAGTTTATTTTTAGAATAATAATAATATTGTTTTTATTTCATCGATTAATGAAAAAGATATTAAATATAGTTGTAATAATAATATGACTGTTTTGTTGAATTTATGCGAAGGAAATAATTATATGATGCCATGTTTAGGGCTAATTAAATCTATTTTTATGACTGATTCAAATATACCATTTTTAGTATGTAAAAAATTTAAGACATTGTACTTTGACAAACATTATCAAGCATATAATGCAACCATCACATCAAATTTTGTGTGTATTGCACTTAATGATTTAGAAAATATGAACCCTACTATCATAATATTATATCTAATGGGTTAAAATTTATTACATTGAAATTATAAAAATGATGTGTATTATGATCCTATATTTCTGTTTTAATTATTATTATTATTATGAATCATGTATGTGTATATATACTATATGTATTATAATGTACCTAATGTCTATGGATAATGTTTAATTTAACATATGCCTGGCATGCCAAGGCCAATCTTGATTTTTGAGGGAATGTTTTATTTTTTGTCGAATTAAGATTATCTATTGCTATGGGATTTGATTTATTTGGTACATCTAAAGATAATAATTGTTTTAAATTTGTTAAATTTTGACAGTCGTCTCCTTGGCAGTTCGCTCCTACAGAATGTGACGATATTAGGTTAGTGATAATTAGTGATTTAAAAGAAGTTTGGAAATGGTAGCATGTTGGGTTAATATTTCTCAAACCATGGCTACGAATTTGACAAAAAAAATTCTCTAATGAATCTTGATTGAATGATCGTAATGTAATAAACCTAAAACCTTGATTTAATAACTTTTTACATAAATATTGAAAACCTTTTATTGTTGCAATCCAGTTTTTGATGGTTGGCAGGCGCGGATACAAGGGGGGGGCTATGGGGGCTGAAGCCCCCCCCCCTTAGACTAGGACTTCGGTACTTAAGATATTTCAAAAAATAAGAAAGACTTCGTACAAAATCCCGGGACGGGACGCGGACACATTTATTTTCTGACGTGTAGGTACGCGACGACTTTCGAGAAAATCGCGAGTAGGACGGAGGCACGTCCGTGAAGGCCAATGACGATCGGTGCGTACGGAGAAATGGAAGAGCAAAAAGGTAGAAGGGGCGCCACAGCTGACGACGGCTGGCACTTTGATACCGCGGTGACGGTGAACAATAAAAATATCGGTATTTGATGTTTTGGGTCATCAATGTGTTATCAATGTTATCATTACTTGTGATTACACACTTTTGAATGAATGATAATTTAACAACATTTGAAAAATTATTTATAAACTTTAAATTTTACACCTTAAACTTAATAATTAATAGTTTATACTTAATACCATGAGTGAGAAAAAAAGGTGGAACATTGTTTTCATTTTTCAATAAGAAAACTAAAAATGATCCTAGTGATGATAATATAGTAGTCGATTAAAATATTCTAGATGATCCTGATCCTGAAACACCAGATGTTAATGTTATTAAGAATTCAGCAAAAGTAAGTGCTTCTTTCTTTTACTCAATTTAATAATTCAATTTATCTTAATGCTTATTGCTTATGTAAATATTTATTATTTTATTTAATACTTATTGTTGAAAAAAAATGTAACTGAGCATAATGAGAATGCATATGATGTTAGATTATCTGTTGATAAAGAACTTACTGATGAGGAAAAATTTAATTTTTGTAAAAATGCATGGAGTTCCGTGGCAGGTTATAAGTTTCCAGTTATAAAACAAGGAAATCAAAACCGAAGCTTTCAATTAGATTGGTTTAGGCGCTATCACTGATTGGCTTATAGTGAACTAAAAGAAGGTGGCTTTTGCAAATGTTGTGTGCTTTTTGCCCCAATAGGTGGTGGTAGAGGATGTCAGGTAATTATATATAGTTTATAGTATATAGTTAATTATGTAGTACAAGTTTCAACACAGTACAGAAAAAATGCAAATTAACATAATAATATAATACTGAAATCATTACCTACCTCTCAATTTATTTTATTTTTATCTCCAGGTTTTAAAGATGTTTGTGTTAAAGAACCTTTTAATAATTATAAAAGAGCACCTGAACTTTTTAAACATCATGCAACAACTCAATATCATTTATTAGCTTCTGAAAAGAGTGCTGCGTTTATACAAAATTATAAAACCGGTGGATCAGTTGAAGTAATGCTCAGTAACAAATTATCATCAATCATGGAAAATAATAGTAAAAGACTTGTACCAATAATAAAAACTATTATTTTTTGTGGACATAATAATCTTCCGTTAAGAGGTCATAGAGATGATGGTATATTGGATATTGATTCAGCCTTAGTAGGAAATCAAGGCATTTTTAGAAGTCTTTTAGCATTCAGAATTGATTCTGGAGATAAAGAGCTAACTGATCACATAAACAGCTGTAAAAAAATGCAACTATGATTAGTAAAACTATTCAAAATGAAATAATTGACATTTTGTATAAAGTCATTATTGAGAAAATTATAATCAATGTAATAAAAAACAAATACTTTCAGCACAAAAGAACAAATGACTTTTTCAGTCAGGTACAATGTACAAATTCATATAAATACATTTGAGATAAATTATTCTAATTCAATTTTATTTTAGATACGTTGACATGGTGGAGATTCAAATCAAAGAAGATTTCCTTGGATTTGTTGAGTTAGGTTCGACAACTGGATCTGCTATAAGAGATACTATAATCAAACAAGTTGAGTGCTATAAATTAAGCTTAAAGAATCTTCGTGGCCAAGGATACGATGGTGGCTCAAATATGTCTGGTAGAAAAAATGGTGTACAGGCACTTATTTTAGAAGATCAGCCTTTGGCAGTATATACCCATTGTTTCAATCACCAATTGAATTTATGTATTTCCAAAGCATGCGAAGTACAAGCTATTAGAAATTTGGTTGGTATTATTGGCACTGTATCTGTTTTTTTATCTACATAGATTAAGCGTAAAACATTCATTATCTCAAAAACTATTCACTTACACATTTCTCTTTTTTTTCAAAATTTTAAATCTACGCTGTTCTAGAATTATATCATTTTTTTTATATTTTTCACCCTTATATTTATTAGAAAAAACACTATCAACTTTCGATTTTCAAATGGTAACCTATACTTTTAATTTCATAAATTAATAAAGCTATTTTTTTTATGAATTATCACGTTTAAATTTTCATTTTTCATTAATCCATTGATGAGATATAAAGTTGGGTAGTTTTGGGAGGTGTTTGTGTGTAAATACCACTTAGACAGTAGATAGTAGATACCCTAGGATTTTTATACCGAGGTAAAAGATACTACTTTTCAAATCAATTTATCAAGTACACTGTACTGTAAGCTTAAGTTTGCCCCAAAATGTATTTTATAATACTCATTTAGTTAGGGTTTTGCATAGTACACCCCACTGAAAATGATAGCCGGTATTTATGGCCATAATAATACATATTATCAAATATAAAGACCAGAAGTTAAATGTAATAACATTCGAGTCCAAAGTATAATAGTGATAATCTTTGTACTTTGTACCTATAGCACATACTCGTTACAATAACTGATTGTCACAGTGCCATATTATAATAAATAATTCAGTAATTGCCAATTGGATCATAACTGTCACTTATCGCATACCTACTTACCTACTTGAGTGTATTCATGATCTAATTTGTCGTGAGTGTATTCATCACTACCTATACCCATTTACGATTAGATACAATAAACTAATTTTGATCAGATATTATTTTGTATTGTTCTGCTATCTGCTGTCTTCTGTGCACGGTTATTATAGTACTTGTCTACTATCAATTGTTATCAATATCATGGCTAAATAGACTATATAGACTAGTCTATTTAGCCATGATCAATATATCAAGCGTTTTGCTCTATGCTGATATCATAGCTCCATCATAGACCTTATACTTAGTATACATAGTATAAGGTATAAGGCACGGACTAAGATATATAATTATTATATATTATTATATATTAAGATATATAAGTATATCTTAGTCCGTGGTATAAGGTCTATGAGTTCCATGGACTACATGGACAGGTGCGTACTGGGTCCATTTTCCCTACCGGGAAACTAGATATAATTAGGGCCCACTTACTATATACAATATACTTACTAATACATAGGCGTATTTAGGGGGGCAAGCCATTTTCGGGAGTATCTCCATCTCCTATATTATGGTTAGTACTTAAATTTTCTCCAGAACGTTTTGGAATAGTTTTTCTTCTCTTTTCAGGAAGCTCTAATTCTATATCAATGTCTGACTCATTTTCCCAAATTACACTAGATACAAATTCAATGAATATTTTTGCTGCTGCACTGACTGGTAAAAATTCTCTTTGGTTTTCTTTTAAAGACTTTATTGTTCCATCAATTTTTCTCCATGCTTGAATATAATCTAGACCAGATGTTTGTAGGTAATCCGATAGAGCAGTAGTAAACTTATATATTTGCAAAAACAGCATTGCTGTTAATACTGTTTCATAACGGGTAAGTCGACCTAGTAAACTTTGAGCTGTACTTCTTACGCAGTTTGAAAAATCATTAGTAACAGAAATTTCATAAAGTGCAAATACAATTTGCACATATACAAATTGCTTTTTGTCATCATTCTTTGCGCTTTCATTCCACATATCGATACGACCAAATATTTTAATAACCGCATCATTTTTAGACCGCCATCGAGTTTTACCAATATTTATCAAATGTGACGGACGACTGGGATTATTCTGATTTTCATAAACATTGAGTCTTTTATAAGATTCTTTGAAAAAAACAAATAGTTCTTGAAGAAGTCCAAAAAAAGAAATGACTGTAACTGAACAAGAAGTAGTTTGTTGTAATACTAGATTTAACACATGCGCGTGGCACCATGTATGAATATGCCTTGGGAGTACTTCCTTGAGTTTAGCTTGAACTCCTTTATATTGGCCATTCATATTGGCAGCACCATCAAAAGCGTCTGCAACACAATTATCTAAGCCAATGTTCATAGAATCTAAAGTTAATTTTAATAAATCAAATAAACCCTGCCCTGAAGATGAAATCACGTTTTTTAAAGCTACAACTCGTTCCTTAACTTCAACTATAGACCTAGTGCCTTCAGTTCTATCTTTAATATACCGCAAAACAAATACACATTGATCATGGGTAGATATATCCATAGTTGTATCCATAGTAATTGAATAAATACCAGCTGAATTTACTTCTTCAGATATTTTTAATAATAATAATTTACAAATAGTTTGAATAATGTTTGTTACAGTTGTAGGACTTAAAAAAGTAAACAAATTTCCTCTACCCGTTTTTCCACTTTTTGCTCGTTTTTCACGTTCTACGATTGCCTTAGTAATGTGATCATTTAAATCAATATTAGACTTGGCTATTAATAACACAATTTCCAAAAAGTGTCCATGGTTAACTGCTGTATTATTTAAATTATAAGCTGCCTCATACCTAAATCCTCTAAACGGCAATCCTTGTTTTCCGACTACTTTTACTATTTCAATTATAGTTTCGGCTAATTTTCTTCTCTTGATTACTTCATGTTCTCTTTGACTCCACTGGACTCTGTTAAATAATCCATCTACACTTTGTTCCCGACTATCACTCATATAACATTTTGATGCTTCTCTGTGGTTTTTTGACTCTTCGTGATCTTTTATGCGTTCATATACATGGATCCAGTCAACAAAACCCTCAACACTTGTAAAAACCGACTTTTTAGAAGAATAAACCAAACATATAGAACAAAAAAAAGAATTCTGTTCGTAACTAAAAGTTCACCAATTTCTTTTTACTTTTTTCTGTGACCCTGGAATTACTACATAATATGCTTTGGAAGTATTAAACGGTAATTGGGTGTCATCTTTTTTTTTTCTGGATGGTGTGGATGAAATGAAAAAAATCTTTGAATATTTTGTTTTCCACTAGGCTTTATAAAATAGTTCAAATTAATTTGATCGACAATATCTATGTGTGGCGGATCAGAATGTTCAAAAGTCTTTGATGATTCACTGTACTGGGATAAAGTCGTTGTTGATAATGAGCGTATCTGTTGACTTAATAATTCTGTTTGTTTACAGATCTCAGGTATTATATTTTCGGAGTCTGTAGAAATGTTTAAATCAGTTGAAATAGATGTAGAAGGTGAATTAAAACAATATGTTGAATCAATATTGGATGTTATGTGAACTTGTGATTTTATCGGCGATATCCGTGATGAAAAAAGAAGGCTGGAACTCTTTTACAGTTATCTGTAAAGCTATCGTAGGAGAGTGAAATTATCCAAGTGCTTTATTGATCATCAACTACTTTTCAGTAGAACTAGATAGGCGGGCGCCGACACCTATCCAATTTACTGTAAACGTATTCAAAGTACAACCAAATTAGTAGTTTAATATGCAGCGCTACATATTTCCCCACCAATTATGATCCTTCTATGACACATTTAAAACAAACACGTTAATCAACCAGGCCAAAGCACTTGAACACGTATAAATCCTATTTAAACACTATTTAAATTATTTGATAATAAAATATAATTTATACAAATTATACAAATATATTAGATAACATTCCATTACCGGATGTTAAAAAACTATAATCAGTCTAGCTACACAAACGTTGGTATATATTATTATTATTATTATTATTATTTTACGTAATAACATCGCGACGTAACAATATATATATCGATGGTCATAAGGCCAATTGTCGTAACCCTCACTTTGGTTAAAAATGGGATTTTAACGAAATATTAAATTTCATATAATTTTCTTGTGTTTAACCAATTGTCGTAACCCACCATACTATTTAACTACTATATTTTTATCATTTATCATTTATTTTAACGTCGTAACCCATAATGATAAATAGTGACAAATGCTGTAAGCCACATACAAATATTATAATATAAAAACGTAAGCCTCAATACTTTTTTCTTCATTATGCCACATTGTTGTAACCCACATGCTGTAACCTAAAATGTTCATCAAAATAATATTATATTATTCCGAATTTGCTCGTACATGACATAGGTACACCAATAACTTATTACTAACATGAAATTATTGAATAATTAAACAAAACAATGCAATATTATAAATTATAATATTTATAAAGACTTAATTTTTACGTTTAGAAATAAATAAAATAAAATTCGCTTCTCGAATGACAATAAAAAAAATAAAAATTAGGTATAACAACTTGTTTTCATTTAAAAAAAATTAAAATTAGTTTCCCAAATAACAAGAAAAAAAAATATAAAAACCATTAAACCAGGTTGGTATCATCTTCATCGTCTGTTTCTGCCAGTGCATCTCTAACTGTACTTTTCCTCGACATAGATAAATATACCTGGTGATACCTTGGTGGAATCGCATTTGTTTCACAAAGATTTACCAGATCTTTATATTTTGCTTCAGATATTGGTAGTTTTGAGTTATACGCCTGCATCAACACACCAATTTCATTTCTTTTTCTTTTTGTTCTTTTTGCTGTAACATTTATAATTTCAAACTCAGCGTCCAACTCGTAACCAAATGATTTTGACGCGGTCCCGCGCGATGGCAGTTTGAATTCAAACGGCCTTTGCGCGGAAATCCGCGCTGAACCTCTCAAACAACCGCCAACCGACGACGGACGACACCGGCGCGCGACATTCGCGCCAGGAACCGTCGGCCGGCCGATAGGCGAACCGGATCGGTAGTGTTACTTTTTCACGTCTCGCGTTGCCGATACGACGTCCGGAAAACGATCCGTCTTTTTTTTTTTTGTTTTATTTTCTTTAATATTGTAAAACGCCACGTGTCTGAACGCGACGTTAATTCTTTGTTTTGTCAACGTTTCTGCACGACAGATTTAAACCGTGATTATTCACCACGTCTAATTTGTTAACCGCAATAAAACCACGTCTTTCGCACGTCCGTGCGACCCTCACCGGTCAGTGTTGAAATTTTGTTCGACTTCCTCCGCTTCTCTCTTCCTCTTTTGTTTCTTTCGTTTTCTTCGCCACGTACCCGCACTCAAGTGTCTACTACCCCCAGGACCATCGTCCCACACCAGCGAGGTACGTGTCAAATGGCTCCCCGAAAAGGAATCACCGGTAAGTGGAAATATATATTTTAACTTACCCCTTACTACCACCATCACATACCCCCCCATCGCGAAGCGCGGAAGAATCCCCGACAAAAACGTGGTTAGCAGGCCCAACGGAAAAACCGGCGTTACATAACGGATTACGTAAACACGCAACGACCGGCCGCGCCGCCCGTTTACTTACGCACCAACCACACCGCGGGCGGCACACCAAAGTCCAAACCCGCGAGACATAGGTTGGTAGGACCGCTGGAGCGCGAGGACACACGAACTGCCGCCGCCGCCACCCGGAGCGACAGCCACCGCTGTCCTTGACCATAATAACGCGCCGGTTAACGCACACACGCGCAACCGCGACATATATCACGACGACCGGTTTGTCACCCGGCGGGCACAACAACAACAAAAGACCCACTGACCTACATTCGGACGTAAATAGACACCGTCGCATCAATAGCGCTCGCCCCACATTAATCACCGCTCCGGAAAACAGCCGGACAACATGCCGGAAAGGTTAATAGACGAGCTGACCGTTCGGGAATTACGGTACGAATTTAGCGGGGGCTTAAACAGGGAGGATCGAAGGCTGAACTCCGGGACCGCCTGGAACAGTACTTCGCGGCCAGGAACATCCAGGCCGACACCGTTCGGTTCACCTCAGCGGACACCGATGAGGGAACCGGGGACGGCTCGGATGACGAAAATCAAACGCCCGTCGGCGCACCCACCGAGACGTCAGTGGTGGAGCCCCCCTCAGCCCAAAGTCCCCAAAACACACCCCACACACTAACACCCCCTGCAGGCCTCGACATATCGGACACTATCCAAACCGCGCGCGGCATACTAGAGGGGGCAATGCTAACACAAAAAAATCAGCCAAGCCAACCGAGTCTGGAGTC